ACACGCACACACACACATACACGCACACACACACACACGACCCTCAACCCACACCCCTGCGCCCTGCGCAACCGCGTCAAACACGCTTAGCAGCGTTCAATGAACTCATGTTCACTGCGTTCAAAACATGAACGTGAAACGCACGTTTATTGAATGCGCGACAACACAAAACGTTGGCGCCGACCTTGGCGATTGACCACCATTGTGGGCCCCGCCGGATCTGAAGACATCAAGGCATTTTCCACGCGAGTCTGAGCGAACCCCTCTGAGAACTTGAGAGACTGACTTTACTCTCTCTATCCTTCTTATTCTCCGTCTAGTCTGACGAGTCGGGAAAGGAAGACGGGAGGTGGGATTGCATCCCACAAGACCGCAGCAAGACCTCGTGGGAGGTCCACCCACCGATTGTGGAAGCTCTGCCGAAGTCAAGACGAGACTTTGGAGATAGTGAACTCAGAAGCAGACCGATATGATTCCATTAGAGTCCCAATAAACCCTTATTTATACAACCCAACGTTATTCAATTTTGCTTGACTTATGTATAAGTTTTGATTTTTTTTTCAAAACTTTAATTGAATCAGAAGGGGAATCTACTATGTATGTTTAATTTCATTTGTTTCAAATGGAATCCACGATGTCTGCTTGCAATAATTTGAATGGGTCTGAAGATGATGTCGCATCAACTGATCACGACACTTTGCCTTCGTTTGTCTACGATGATTTTCAATGGGTTTAAGTGTGATGCCGCATCGACTGATCTGGACGCTTTGTTATATTTGCCCGCGAGATCCGAATGAGCTTGGATGTGATGTCGCATCGACTGATCTAGAAGTTTTGCTCTTATTTGCCTGACAGTTTAAAATAAATATGAACGTGATGTTGCATCGATTGATCCAGACGCTTTGTTGACATTTTTCTGAAAGTTTGAAATGGATTTGGATAAAACTGGATGTGATGTCGCATCGACTCATCTGGACGTTCTATTGACGTTTATCTGAAAGCTTGAAATCTGCATAGCACGACGAACGTGTTCGCGCCCCTTCACGTTAGCGAACGTGTTCTCGTGTTCGCACAAACAGCTCGCGAACATATTCAGACGAACATATATTTTTTTCGTTTTTTTTTTTTTTTTTTTTTTTTTTTTGGTTTTTGATTGTTAAATCATGATTGGCTATGAATTTGAACATGACTCCAAGGCAAAAATTGCTGGTATTAATATTTTACATAACATATATTTTTTCAAATTTTTTTGAAATCTGTTTTTTTTTTTATTTAATACTTTATATTTTTTATGTTTGCGTTCGGAGGGTTTTGGACGCTTGTTCGTGTTCGGCTCCGAACGTGAACACGGTGCTATGCAGCTTGAAATGGGTCCGGGAGTGATGTCGCTGAATAATCGCATTGACTGATCTTAACGCTTTGTTGACGTTTACCTAAAGCCTGAAATGAGTTTGAGCGTGATGTCGTATCGACTGATCCAGACGCTTTGCTATCGTTTACTTGAAATGGTTTGAATGGGTTCGAACATGATGTCGTATCCACTAAACCGAATGCGTTGCTAAGTC